AAACCCATGACAGCATATGTCTAGGCCTTATAAACAAGAGTGTGGATCACAGAAATTGCCAGTCAACACTTTCAAAGGCATTCTCTGCATCAGTGGAAAGGAGCATGAGCAGAGGGGCGTTCAACTTAGCCAAATGAATGAGATCTATCACCCTGGTAGTGTTGCCTTGTGTCTTGCATTGGGGTATACCTACCTGCTTAGAGTGGATAATCTGAACTAAGTGGGGAAGAAGTTCATTAGTGAGAATCTTGTAGAATAATGTAAGATCTGTGTTGAGTAGGGCAATTACATAGTTAGTAAAGAAGAAAAAACCTCAGCGCCCAGGACTCTCTTATTACACACACTATTCCCCGTGAGATGCTGCTGTACACAGGTGCAAAAACCAAAAAAACTTATATCAATAAATACCAGCGCAAACCCACATAATAAATTGCATCACCCAACCCATTGAATTGGTGATTAATAAATATTAAAAACTTAAAAAACTGTGACACAAAAACATATTAGTGTTAATGAAATAGTGATAAAAAAATAATAATAATATAAATGATTTTAGAATTAATAAGTCCAGTGATAAAAAAAACCCCAATATAACAGTCCCGTGACAAAATTAATTATATTGTAATTTCATTGGATTCTTCCGTGCCTTTGATACCTTCACCATCCACCAGTGCAAAACCAACATTAACCGCACTCACCAGATAATGGTGAGTCAAACGCCTTTCAGGGATATTAAGGGCTCCTGGACCCCCTTTACTTTGTATAAGACCTCCAAATAATGCCTCCTCTCGGATAAGGATACCTCTTCTGGTTACTCCTCTCACCGAATCCCCCAGGGAAAATCAGGAAGAAGAAAAAACCATAGTGTGATACCGTAGTGATTTCCAATCAAATGAATTTCTCCAGACCACTCATCTTTTAGCAGGATATAACCCGCATTTTATTGGAACAAAAACGATCTTTCTTTAAAAACAATCTATTTTTCATATACAGCGACTTTTGTATAGAGACCCCACAGCCTGGTATACAGCAGGATGGCAGACCTCAGATGCAGACTCATCCACTATGCAAAGATGGCCCCTTGGAACGCACCGCTCGGCGTGCGTTCCACTCACCGGAAATTACGTCAGACGCCGGAACAGGCAACCGGAAGTGCGTCAACGCGTTTCGCCCCACCCACAGGGCGTTATCAAGACGCTCTTTTCCTCTGCCAAGCCGTTTATAAATCAGTGGGAGATCCCTCCCACTAATTACCTGGACACAAAACTATCCATCACCGCCATCCCTCTGTATACCCATGTGAGGTCCCCTCACAACAAAGACAATTACATTTTTATTAAAACCATACTTTGATCCATAACCTTATGTCTTCTACCCCTCAACATAAGGGTAGAGACAGGACATTAAGATACATTAATTATTAAAATAAAAATATCAATATAAAAATAAAAATAAAATAAATAAATAAATAAAAAATTTATATAAAAAATGTAAAAAAATGAAAAAAAATGAAAATGAAAAAAAAAAAAAAAATAAAAAAAAAAAAAATATATAAAAAAAAAAATAAAGATAAATAAAAATAAAATTAAAATAGAAATAAAAATAGAAAATAATTAAAAAAAAAATAGAAATAAAATAAAAATAAAAATAAAGTTAAAAAAAAAAAAATAAATATAAAAATAAAAATAATAATAAAATTAAAAATAAAAATAAATAAATAAAAATAAATAATCAAATAAAAAATAAAAAAATGAAAAATTAAAATCCAGAAATATATATAATATAGAAATACAAATAACCCCTAATCATGAAAACGCACTTCGGACATTAACTATATTTTACCAATTGGACAAAAAACAGTTTATATCAATATCTGCATTCAACCCATTAGGATACAATGTACCCATCTGGTATATCCACTTCGTTTCATTTTGAGAAACATTTATTACCATATTTCCCCCTCTCCAAGGGGCCTCTACTCTATCTATCCCACAAAATTTCAGCGATGCCGGATCTCTATTATGATATTTTCTAAAATGGTATGACAAGCTATGATGTTTAAATCCCTTCTTTATGTTTCTAATATGTTCTCCCAACCTGGTGGCAAGTTTTCTCGTTGTTCTCCCTATATACTGGAGTTTGCAAGAGCACTCCAACAAATAGGTGACATGTGTACTGTCACATGATATAATTATCTGCGTATGCCATAATGTTATGATAGTCAAACTTGCTATGAAGCCCTGTGATATCAGGGTTCACCCTGATGGAACACAATAACGGTTCCAACGTCAACACATAAATTGAGGGCAATAGGGGCCAGCCCTCTCTGGTACAATTTGACAACCTGAAGTAGTCAAAGCGTGGTTCATTCATTTGTACTGTGGCCTTTGGGGAAGAATAAAGGGCCAAAACCCATGACAGCATATGTCTAGGCCTTATAAACAAGAGTGTGGATCACAGAAATTGCCAGTCAACACTTTCAAAGGCATTCTCTGCATCAGTGGAAAGGAGCATGAGCAGAGGGGCGTTCAACTTAGCCAAATGAATGAGATCTATCACCCTGGTAGTGTTGCCTTGTGTCTTGCATTGGGGTATACCTACCTGCTTAGAGTGGATAATCTGAACTAAGTGGGGAAGAAGTTCATTAGTGAGAATCTTGTAGAATAATGTAAGATCTGTGTTGAGTAGGGCAATTACATAGTTAGTCTGGCTGAAAAAAGACAAAAGTCCATCCAGTTCAACCATTAAAAAAAAGTTATAATCCTATAATCACAGTTGATCCAGAGGAAGGCAAAAAAAACAGCAAAGTATGATCCAATTTGCTCCTGCAGGGAACAAAATTCATTCCTGATCCCCCAAGAGGCAATCGGATAGTCCCTGGATCAACTTTACCTATAAATGTTAGTATCCTGTTATATTCTGTGTATCTAAGAAAGAATCCAGGCCTTTTTAAAGCAATACGTTGAGCTGACCAGAACTAACTCCTGAGAGAGTCTATTCCACATTTTCACAGCTCTCACTGTGAAGAAACCTTTCCGTGTTTGGAAATTAAATTTATTTTCCTCCAGACGTAAAGAGTGCCCCCTTGTCCTCTGCGATGACCTCAGGGTGAATAGCTCTACACCGAGTTCACTATATGAACCACTGATGTATTTATACATGTTGATTATATCCCCCCCTTAATCTCCTCTTCTCAAGAAAGAATAAATTCAGTTCCTCTAATCTTTCCTCATTGCTGAGCTCCTCCATGCCTCTTATCAGTTTGGTTGCCCTCTCTCTGTATTTTCTCCAGTTCCCCAATGTTAATTTTGTGAATTGGTGCCCAAAACTGAACTGCATATTCCAGATGAGGTATTACTAATGATTTGTACAGGGTAATATGATATCTCTCTCTAGAGTCTATACCTCTTTTATCTTTTAATACAAGAGAGGATTTTGCTCGCTTTAGAAACTGCAGCTTGGCATTGCATGCCATTATTAAGCTTGTGATCTACCAGAACTCCCAGATCCTTCTCCACCATTGATTCCCCCAGTTGTACCCCCCTAGTATGTATGATGCATGCATATTCTTAGCCCCCAAGTGCATAACCCTATATTTATCAACATTAAACCTCATTTGCCACATAGTTGCCCAATTAAACAGTGCATTGAGGTTGGCTTGTAAATTAAAGACATCCTGTAAGGATGTTATTCCACTGCACAGTTTGGTGTCATCCACAAAGACTGAAATGGGATTTTTAATCCCAGACCCTATATTGTTTTTTAAATATATTAAAAAGTAAGGGTCCCAACACTGAACCTTCAGGTACATCACTAACAACCCTAGACCATTCAGAGTATGAATCATTAACCACTACTCTTTGAGTACGATCTTTTAATCAGTTTTCTATCCATTTACATACCAATTTTTCCAAGCCTGTAGACTTTACCTTACACATTAGCTGTGTATGGGGAACTGTGTCAAACGCTTTTGCAAAATCCAAGTATACCATGTTCACCACCACCCCTCTGTCCAAGGTTTTGCTCACCTCCTCATAAAAAGAAATCAGATTTCTTTGACAATTTCTGTCTTTCTTGAATCCATGCTGTCTGTTGCTTACAATATTTTTTTACAGCAAGAACTGTGGCAAAGAGTGTGGACCTTAACACCAACATGTGTGGGGGAGGCAGTAGGGAGATAAGATTTCTGTATTGAGAGCATGCTCACTGACAGCTCCTGTTCCTCTGCTTATGATTGTGAACCACTGGGGAGGGCTCCCATTTTTGTGTCAACTGTGGCAGCCAGTCACATTGATCCCATGCTCAGGAAGTCTGTCCCAGCAAAAATAACCAGTTAAAGGGTTGCTGGGAGAACTTAATAACTTCATGACCTGATCAGCTTCCAACTATAACAGACAATGCTTAAAGCTTGTCTAAATCCTTGAACAAAAAATTTATTTATTGCAGCTCACTAGTCTATAAATGTGGTGGCTGCATTAATTCCTTTTTTAAGTTTTTTTCCTTCATTTTCACTTGGTAATATTAGAAGTAACACAATCCCTGAGACAATCACTCACCATACTGTATCTGTGGAAAAGCAGCTTTGTCACCCTAGAATAGTGGGTGCATTAAGACTACATAAACCTCCTGCACCTCTCTTCTCCATATCTTTGAGGGGAGGCATTCTGAAGTTCTCAGCTGAGAACAATGGGTCTGATAAGAGTGCAGCACAGGCAGAAAGTAGAGGAAGTGTGCAGAACTAACAAGTATTTTCTGCCACTATTAAATATAACAAAACACTTTCAATAGGTATTTTTAACAAACCGTATGGGAGCAAATAAGTTATTTGTTAAGGTTTACATATACTTTAAAGTGTAAATCCAGCCCAAATGTTTTTCGTTAGCATTGGATAAAGTGGGGAGAATTAAATTATCTATCTATAATCATTTTGGAACAGAAAAGTAATCCCTCTTGAGAGACAGTGTTGTGAACTGCTGAGACTCTGTTTTTTTTCCCCACAGAATTACAAAGAGCTAGAGCTGCTGAGGTTGGTGTATTATGGAGGAGTGGAACATGATATCCGCAAAGAAGTTTGGCCATTCTTGCTTGGCCATTACAAGTTTGGGATGACTAAGAAAGAAATGGATCGAGTAAGTTAAGGTCTCAAATTAATGTTGGTCCTAATTTTTGACGTCTCAAACAGCTTATATTGTCCCACTCCAATCAACCAGTTTGAAATTGTAATTCTGCATAGTTTTCCAGCACAGGTTTCAAATGTGGTATATTAGATGACCCAGACTGTCCGGCACTTTGCTTAATAAGGTTTCACTGTATTTAGAATTATGAAATAAAGCATGCAAGCATATGTTCCTCCTGGACCATTTTAAATGTTGAAAAAGACTGCAGGCTTCTACATTTTAATGTAGAAAATTAACAAATACAAACAGGATGTATATCTTCTTTACATACAGTATAATGTGTATTTTTCATCCTGTCAAAGTTTAGCTTATTCATGAATAATACATAATAGTGTTTCTGCCCTTCACCCAAGGTGGATGAAGCTATTGCCTCCAGGTATCAGAAGGTGATGGCCGAATGGAAAGCCTGTGAAGTCATTGTCAAGCAAAGGGAAAAGGAATCACATTCGGCCATTTATGCCAAGCTCTCATCTGGAAGCAGCATTGACAGCCATGTCCAACGCCTGATTCATCGAGACTCCACTATTAGTAATGATGTAGGACACTATACACATATTTCTTTGTTACAATAATATCTGTTTAATGCACATTGTACTTCTTGTAAGTTATATCTTTATAAACAGAACATTTTGACATTAAAATTGGGAGTTTATACAGACGAATTCTGTCATTTGGGATGCCCAGGGAATTTATCTGTGGTTGCACAATGCATAAACACACCCTCATGTCATCTTAAATACTCATTAAGAGCACAGTTTGGTAGGCATCTCAAATGCATTCTTTAACATGCTCCCTTAAAGAGCTACCTGTTATCAACAACTAGGTATGTCCGACAGTCTGTCCATCAATCTAATGGATCCATTGGCACCAGATTATACTATTATTTTAAACAAGAACACCTTACATAAGAAAGAGGAACACAGTTAATATCTACAAAACATACTACTTACACCCTAATCAGATATTCACTTTTTCAGGCAAGGAAAAAAACAGAGCATCAATTCATTATCTGGAAAATATCCACTTGAGCTTAGGAAAGTTTTACCTCCTTTGTGTCAAGGGCATTTTTTGGTATTCACCAAATGTGCTACCTCCAGGACACTTCTGGCACTTTTTGTTTACATGTAACAATCAGTATTTTTTGCTAGAAAATTAGTTAGAAACCCCAAGGATTAAATATTTTTTAAAGCAGAGGCCCTAGAGAATAAATTGGTGGGTTCATATGGTATCAAACGTTTTTGAATTTTAATGCAAAAACACAATGCATAACCCTTTTTTTGTCAAATATAAAAGATGATGTTACGTTGAGTAAATAGATACCAAAAATAGTGTGTGCCTGTGCAATGGCGACAAACAATATATAATTTATTATCCATAAGTGACGCTTTAAAAGCCTTTACAGAGGAGGTCTAATGATAGAATTACTGCCCATGATCTGACGTTGACTGTGATACCTCACATGTTTGGGGCGATCGCTGTTTGCACACATTTTTTTTTTTACATTGTCCCTTTCATTTTTTTTATCACTTTTATTGCTGTCACAAGGAATGCAAATATGCCTTGTGACAGCAATAGATTTTGTGACAGTAATAGATACGTGATGTCAGGTCATCACTTCCAGTTTACCTTAGTGGAGACCCGATCAAAACCAATCCCGGCTTTGTTTGGGTGTGCGACCAGCCAGTGAATGTGATGGCTGGTTGCTCAGGTCTCCCGGTGGAATGGAAAAGCCTAAGCGAGCAGTGGAAGACTACAGGATGGGGGGGTGTCCCCTCCCGCTGTTTATAATAGCAGTCAGGTGGCTAGTTAGCCACTCCAATTACTATTACAATAGAGATAACTACTGGCTCTAAAAAAATGGTACTGGGGTGATGCCTGCAGCTGTAGGCATCATCCCAGTACAACCACTGGAAGTCAAGCAACGTACCCGTACATCGATTGGTGGCAAGTAGTTAACTGGAAATGAACATGTTTTCCTGGATTGTTGACATCTTTCTGTTAAAAAAATAATACATTCCAACAACCGCATTACCTGGGACATATGTGTATTTTGGATTTTGACAGATACAGAATAAAGCTGGTCTCTGGAATATAGTTATATCTATATTATTGCCCGCCAACGTATTAGTGTTGCCCATTTACTGCTTTTCCCTACCAATAAAGGTTATTATTTAAATTCCAATTTTCTTCTCTGTAAATGTGGAGTACAAATCTAGGGAAAACACAATATTTTTTTATACCATTACATCCAGGGCCAGATTCCCCAATAGACATTGTAGGTATGTGATTACAGGCGCCCTTGTATGATCTTGTTCTATTTTTTTTGCGACAGCTGTCCCAGGGAGTCCCAGAAATGAAGGTCTGTCATGGACAGCTGAGCTGCTTGCAGTGAAGTTAGTGCAGATGGCACTAGAAACAGTTGTTGCTGGGCGGAGGGGGTAACAGACATAAAACACAGATCCTTCCCCCTACCACCTCTGGCTCCTGGTTCCCAGCAGCTGATCAAGCGGCTCTATTGGCAAATTGAGGCTTGCAGTGATTGGGCAGGACTCAGGAGGGGTGTGGTCGCCTTGGAGGTGACCCGCGTCTGGTGGATGTGTGACAGGCTCAGTCGGCCTGCAGACACGGAGCCTCTCCATACTGGGGGAGGGAAGTGAGCAGAGGAGTCTGGGCCAAGGACAGTCAGGATCTCTAGGCGGAGCAGAGAGGGCACTGGCAGTGAATTCCTGTCAGTGTTCTGAATGGAGGAGTCTCTGCACAGCTGTCCTGCACGCAGAAGAGGGGGGAAGGGAGGGAAAGGGAGGGGAGATGGCACCGAACAGGTCACTATGTACACAATACAACATCACCCCCTTCACAGAGATGCAAATGGGGCTGAGGTTCCCCCCCCCCCCCAGTGCAAGGGGACCTCTGCGGACCCTGATGTAAAAGGGACTCTGATGTAAGAGGGAACACTGTGGACCCTGATGTAAAGGGGAACGCTGCTGACTGTGATGTAAGGGGGGGGGGCTTTGGTGACCAGAGACCACCATACATCAGAGTTCCCCATTACATTACAGTCCACAGTGTTCCCCTTTACATCACAGTCCGCAGTGTCCCCCTTTACATCAAAGTCCACAGCATTACCCTTTATACATATACAAATATTTAAATACAAATGTTTTATAAAGAAAAAAAAATCAGTGTCACTGTCTTTTTTTTTTTTTTTTTTTTTAGGGTAGGGGATAGGTGCTTCAGAATTCTCTGTCTATAGGCTCCTGAGATGTAAATCCGGTCCTGATTATATCCTATTCTGACATATAATGGCCTTTTAGCATTTGCTGCTTTATAACTCTGACATCTATTAAACTGTATATCTCATTCTGTGACATTTAATCTTATGATTACTGCATAGTTTAGCAGAATAACATTAATTCTCCAGAGTAATTTATGATCTTTGCTGCTTTCCAAACAGGAAAGGCCATTAATTTGTTTGTTTTTTTAATTGATATCCCTTTCCAACATCCTTGGCACTGAGTTGAATAAGGATACAGAGATAATTCTTATATCTGAGATAATATTGGGTAACTAGTTAAACAGATTGTTTTCTATCTAAGCTTTTATATACATTTGTGAACACTCTTCAATTGGTGTTTAGATAAAATCTTGAACCCTAAGAGGACCTCTCAATAATGAACCTTTTTGCTAATGTAGGAGCAAATGTATGAATTTATACTATTCCACCAGTAGGTAGGCATGCTTGATTTTTCAAAGGAGGTAGAGACTACCATGGAGGTAGAAGCTTCTGTACGTACTGCAACATCCAAGACATCAAAATAAATATGAATTGTTACAGAGTTAGAAGAATTATTACATTTTAGCCACAGTCTTACCTTCAGGCACAGTAGGCAGAGGCCACACGTTATTTTCCATTGTTGGTACAAATAGATGTTTTGGGCACAATATTCAAATAATAACAATCCAGCATGGGGAAATATAGTACAAGTTGCATTACAGGCTAATATGTCAGGCCATTGCTAGGATGTACAGCCCTGGCCAAAGGTTTTGAGAATGACACAAATATTAATTTTCACATAGTCTGCTGCCTCAGTTTTTATGTGGCAATTTGCATATACTCCAGAATGTTACGAAGAGTGATCAGATGAATTGCAATTAATTTCAAAGTCCCTCTTTGCCATGAAAATGAACTTAAACCCTAAAAAAAATATTTCCACTGCATTTCAGCCCTGCCACAAAAGGACCAGCTGACATCATGTCAATGATTTTCTCGTTAACATAGGTGTCAGTGTTGTTGAGGACAAGGCTGGAGATCACTCTGTCAGGCTGATTGAGTTAGAATAAGAGACTGGAAGCTTTAGAAGGAGGGCGTTGCTTGAAATCATTGTTCTTCCTCTGTAATTCATGGTTTCCTGCAAGAAAACATGTGCAGTCATCATTCACAGACAAGGATATTGGTGCTACTAAGATTTCACTTAAATCAACCATTTATCAGATCATCAAGAACTTCAAGGAGGGAGGTTCAGTTGTTATCAGGGCACCATCAGTACAGAGCTTGGAAGAATGGCAACAGGCAGGTGTAAGTGCATCTGCACGCACAGTGAGAAGAAGACTTTTGGAGGATAGCCTGGTGACAAGAAGGGCAGCAAAGAAGCCACTTCTCTCCAGGAAAAACATCAGGGACAGACTGAAATTCTGCAAAAGGTACAGGGTTTGGAGTGGGTTCACTCTCAATATTTCCTAAAAATGCAGCCATGAATAAAGAAAGAAATGCAAAAACATCTTCTCTCAACCATCCAAGAACAGTTTCAAACAATGCCTTTTCCAGCATGATGGAGCACCTTGTCATAAGGCAAAAGTGATAACTAAGTGGCTTCGGGAACAAAACATTTAAATTTTGGGTCTACGGCCAGGAAACTCCCCAGACCTTAGTCCCATTGAAAACTTGTGGTCAATCCTCAAGAGGGGGGTGAACAAAAAACTCTACAAACTCTGACAAACTCCAAGCATTCATTATGCAAGAATGGGCTGCCATCATTCAAGATGAGGCCCAGAAGTTGATTGACAGCATGCCAGGGCAAATTGCAGAGGTCTTGAAAAAGAAGGGTCAACACTGCAAATATTGACTCTTTGCATCAACTCTATGTAATTGTCAATAAAAGCCTTTGACACTTATGAAATGCTTGTAATTATACCAATGGTTTTTATGGTTATATATGGTTATTAACCAAAAGATCTAAAAACATGAAGCAGCAGACTTTGTGAAAATTTATATTTGTGTCATTCTCAAAACTTTTGGCCAGGGCTGTAGTAATCAGTTGAATTTGCAGTGCAAATACTACTGTCTTCTCTTACTGAAGTGGGTAGGTTGAAACCATTATGATAGTGTTAAACGGGAACTAAACCCTCCTATCCTTTACAATCAAGGAACTTGTCATCTTAGCCTCTGTTTGATCTGCAGTTGTCATGGTGCTGCACATGTGATCAGCTATGATACCTGAAGTTTGATTACTTGACAGTTTAATTGAGGATACAAGTAACTGTAACAGTTATTGCTCACAACGTGCTTTTGTTTTGGGACACAGTTAAATAAGTGGGTTTCGTTTTGCTGTAAAGACCAACTGAACCTTCAGTTTAAATCTGCTAAATACATGCCAGGTGCATTAAACTGAAAGTTCAATTGGACTTTAACAGTAAAAATGTATTGTCATAGAGACAAGCCTGAATCAGAGTATAAAGCTGGGCATATGAAAGAAGATCTATGCAACTGTTAGTTTCCGATTTGTTGTACTCTTGAGAGTCCGTTTTCTCCCCCAGGAACACTGACCTATTTCTGTTGTCTCAGCAAATGAGCAATAGACAGAATTGCATGCAAGGATGATAAGAGATGTCAGAAGACAGAATGTAGTACATTTAACATGAAACCCTCCCCTTTTTCTTGTCTGTTGGTCTGTACAGTTAAAATGCAATTGTTTATATAAAGCTGATAACATGGTTCTTCCAACAACACATTCTAGCTTTATTTGCTTCTGGAAAAAAACAAAATGTACAGGATGCATGAGGCAGCATACCTATAACATCTACATTCAAGTATACCTATAGCAGTGTGTTGTCTAAATACATACCTGTGTATATTTCACATCTTTACTACAGTACCTTATAATATATATGTGTTGCAGGTCTTCATGTCTACAGAAGAAATAGATGTGACAGACCGAGACTTGAAAACTCACAATGATAAAACCACCACCTTGACAAACACTGCTGGTACTCCATCGGCAGTGGTAGCTGAACCACAGCAGTCTGTGGAGTTTGACTCTCCTGATTCTGGTCTTCCCTCTTCTCGTAACTACTCTGTGACCTCGGGGATCCTGTCAAGCATTGATGATGGACAGAGCATATGTTTTGAGGAAGAAGAATCAAGCACAGAGTCAGACAGGACAGAAATGAGTATGGGCACTCCCAGGAAAACAAAGGGAGTCCTCAAAATGCAGGACTCTATATGTGAAGAGCAGCTGTGTTCACAGCTAGAGTACTTAAGTAATTCTGAAGACATCTCTTCCATGTGCCCAACATCGTACACAGTAAGATAACGTTATTTTTTTTTATTCATTGACTTTTGTTTTCAGTTTTCAAGTAATAACAAAATGTGGTGTAAATAATCAAGTATCAGCATGACAGTGTCTCATATACAACCTATAAAAGAATCATGTTTGGGTAGGACACATACTGTACACAAGCATTTTGTACATATAGGGTGATTTAAAAATACGTGACTATTCCATTGTATAGTATTCAAATGCTTCTCATGCTGTGACACACAGGCATAAATGAATCAGAAAAGACAGAGAAGCATCATTAATTTTAATTATGTGTAGTGCCCTCTTGTGTACATAGTTTGTGAGTGTACCCATATGGAAGAATAATATATTTGAAATGCATTTTAAAAATACTCTTCCCAAATATATTGCCATATATCTGAAATGCTACAGTTTTGGCCATATTCAATATATTTCAATAAATATATATATATATATATATATATATATATACTGCATGTTGAAATGCGTTTTTATTACAAAATATATGAAAAATATTTAAAAAAATACATTTCAAATGTACTGTATATAAAGATCCCTGCGGGGATAGTGGCAAGGAGGATAAGAGCATTGGGAAGCAATTAAGGGATACCCACCTGGTGCAACAGAATTTCTAAAAGTTCCATATGTGAACAAAGAGCGAAGTAAGCCTGTTACAGGCTGAAAAGGAGGTGAGCGCATAACCTAATCACAATAAGAAGTCACTGGGAATTGCAATTACTTATTCTTGATCACTTTTTGGGATTTATCACTTTTATACCATAGAGACTTTTTTATTTTTTATTCACTTTCACAATTTTTTTTTTGGATCACATTATATTTTGGGACTATCACTATTAAGTTGGTACCAAAGACTAAATTTTTTTTTTTATTATTACTTTTTAATTTTATTGATTTGTTTGTCATTTGCTCTAAATTATATATTCTGATAGTTGCATAATTACTATATGGGTAATAATTGATAATAATTAGGAGTGCGACATTTATTGAAAAATATACTGTACTGTCTATAAAAATACAAATCTACATTTTTGGAATGCATTTAAAAATATATGTTAAAATTAGTTAATTATATGTTAAAAAAAATCCGAAGAATATATTTAAAAAAATATATTTTTTTTTAACATATAAAAAAGTCATTTTAACATATATTTTTATATACAGATGAAACTTGAAAAATTAGAATATCATGCAAAAGTTCATTTATTTCAGTAATGCAACTTAAAAGGTGAAACTAATATATGAGATAAAACTCATTAAATGCAAAGCAGGATAGTTCAAGCCGTGATTTGTCATAATTCTGATGATTATGGCTTACAGCTCATGAAAACCCCAAATCCACAATCTCAGAAAATTAGAATACTGTGAAAAGGTGCAATATTCTCGGCTCAAAGTGCCCCACTCTAATCAGCTTATTAAGCCATAACACCTGCAAAGGGTTCCTGAGCCTTTAAATGGTCTCTTATGCAGGCCATAGACGGGGAGAAAAACGGCAGATTTTTCTTTTAAAAACGAAAAATCGGTCGTTCAAGCGGCCGATGTTACCACCAATGGTAAAAAAAATTGGCCGATTTTCATCCCGTCTACAGCCGGCAAAAAGTGTCCCTGCAGAGAGCTCTGCTATTTCTTTGACAGTTCCTTGACATTTACAGAGGTTGCAACAATGTATCTATTTGTATCCATTTAGGATACAGATGTTTTTATTCGGAAACAAATAGATACAATGTTGCAACCGCTGTAAATGTCAAGGAACTGTCAAAGAACTGTCAAAGAAATAGCAGAGCTCTCTGCAGGGACACTTTTTGCCGGACTGGAATTCCTCTTATTTTTCATCCTTCTTCTTCTTCTCCATCTTCATCATCATCCTCTTCTTCTTCTTCCTCATCATCATCCTCTTCTCTTCATCATCATCATCATCCTCTTCTTCTTCATCATCATCCTCATCTTCTTCTTCTTCATCATCATCATCCTCTTCTTCTTCTTCTTTTTCTTAATCATCATCATCCTCTTCTTCTTCTTCGTCATCATCATCCTCTTCTTCTTCTTCATCATACTTTCTTTATCATCATCCTCTTCTTCATATTCTTCTTCTTCTTCTACTTCATCATCATCCTCTTCTTCTTCTACTTCATCATCATCCTCTTCTTCTTCATCTCATCCTCTTCTTCTTCTTCTACTTCTTCTTCCTCTTCTTCATCATCATCCTCTTCTTCTTTATCATCATCATCCTCTTCTGCTTCTTTTTCTTCATCATCATCCTCTTCTTCTTCTTCATCATCATCCTCTTCTTCTTCTTCATCATCATCATCATCCTCTTCTTCTTCATAATCATCATCATCCTCTTCTTCATCATCATCTTCATCCTCTTCTTCTTCCTCTTCTTTTTCTTTTTGTCTTCCTCTTGCAGGTCACTGCTCATGCGCAGATTTTTTATCGGTAAAAAAATCGGCCGATTAGCCCATTATTGCCGTGAAAATCGGCTGATCGGCAAAATCGGCCGATTTTTTTTTTTCCAACTTTACCGATAGAAAAAAAACGGCCAAAATACCGAAAAACGGCCGAACAAATAGCCCACTAACGATCCGAAAATCGGCTGATTTTATTTTCGGCCAAAAAAATCGGCCAATTTTCGACCCATCTATGGCCTGCATTAGTCTGGTTCAGTAGGAATCACAATCATGGGAAAGACTGCTGACCTGACAGTTGTGCAGAAAACCATCATTGACACCCTCCATAAGGAGGGAAAGCCTCAAAAGGTAATTGCAAAAGAAGTTGGATGTTCCCAAAGTGCTGTATCAAAGCACATTAATAGAAAGTTATGTGGAAGGGAAAAGTGTGGAAGAAAAAGGTGCACAAGCAGCAAGGATGACCGCAGCCTGGAGAGGATTGTCAGGAAAAGGCCATTCAAAAGTGCTGGGGACTTTCACAAGGAGTGGACTGAGGCTGGAGTCAGTGCATCAAGAGCCACCACACACAGACGGATCCTGGACATGGGATTTAAATGTCCTATTCCTCTTGTCAAGCCGCTCCTGAACAACAAACAACGTCAGAAGCGTCTTACCTGGGCTAAAGAAAAACAGACCCGGTCTGTTGCTCAGTGGTCCAAAGTCCTCTTTTCTGATGACAGCAACTTTTGCATCTCATTTGGAAACCAAGGACCCAGAGTATGGGGGAAGAATGGAGAGGCACACACTGCAAGATGCTTGAAGTCCTGTGTGAAGTTTCCACAGTCTGTGTTGATTTGGGGAGCCATGTCATCTGCTGGTGTTGGTCCACTGTGCTTCATTAAGTTCAGGGTCAACGCAGCCGTCTACCAGGAGATTTTGGAGCACTTCATGCTTCCTTCCGCAGACAAGCTTTATGGGGATGCTGACTTCATTTTTCAGCAGGACTTGGCACCTGCCCACACTGCCAAAAGCACCAAAACCTGGTTCAATGACCATGGGATTACTGTGCTTGATTGGCCAGCAAACTCGCCTGACCTGAACTCCATAGAGAATCTATGGGGCATTGCCAAGAGAAAGATGAGAGACATGAGACCGAACAATGCAGAAGAGCTGAAGGCTGCTATTGAAGCATCCTGGTCTTCCATAACACCTCAGCAGTGCCACAGGCTGATAGCTTCCATGCCACGCCGCATTGAGGCAGTAATTGCTGCAAAAGGGGCCCAAACCAAGTACTGAGTACATATGCATGCTTATACTTTTCAGAGGCCCGATATTGTTCTATGTACAATCCTTGTTTTATTGATTGCATGTAATATTCTAATTTTCTGAGATTGTGGATTTGGGGTTTTCATGAGCTGTAAGCCATAATCATCACAATTATGACAAATCACGGCTTGAACTATCTTGCTTTGCATGTAATGAGTCTATCTCATATATTAATTTCACCTTTTAAGTTGCATTACTGAAATAAATGAACTTTTGCATGATATTCTAATTTTTCGAGTTTCACCTGTGTGCTCGAAAGGAGTCAAGGTCATCCTGTCTGTGGGAGGATGGACCATGGAAGTGAAAATGTTTCACCCATAACAATTCTGTCTTGGTTAGTGTAGATTCAGTTACTACAGTTTGGAATGACTTTATCTCCTTCTTTGTCAGTAATTTGTAAAATTGGGGTAGGTTCAAGTGGGTCCAGTTCGGTTGGAGCCATAGCAGGCTATTTGTATTTAGGGTTCATATCAACCTCCTCAAGGGATACCCATATGGGAGATCCAACAGTGGTGTGATTTTTAGTGAGAGATGCTAGTTGTGCACCCAGACCATCTTGTGATCTACCATAGTAGAGTGAGTATGGCGAGTATAGGCATGTGACAGTACCTTATAAATCTGAGGATTTAACTTTGGAGGGCATGAAGAATCAACAAGGGTATCTGAATTGGCAGAACCCTAAACAGATATAGTAATTGGCAGGTAGGTTGACTGCTGCTATGCACCACATCAAAGAGAAAGGATAACCATGCTAAGCTGAAAGCAGGCTCTTGAGTTTGAAAAGGTGAAGAGGAGTGGATAGATTGCTGTATATAATGTGTGATATACAGCTGTAAGATAGGTTCCCAAATAAAGGAGATGTGTATTTTCCTACAGATAAGGAAATGAGTCTCGAAGGGATCTGGTTAAGTTTTTTGGTTAGGAAACATTTAGAATTTTGGATTTAGCATGGTTAATATGAAGGTACAAAATGTTGTCAATCTGATTCAAATTACCATTATTATGGTTGGAAAGGGTAACAATGGGATTAGTGACAAATAAAAGCATATAATCTACAAACAATTTTATTTTAAGGTGGTAGCCCGCTGTTGTAAGATCAGTGATGTCTGGATGTTCTGTTATGAGCTGGATCAGTAGCTCCATTGCAAGGGTGACAAAACAGGGAGACAGGAGGCAACCTTTCCTTATGCCTCTGGAGAGAGGAAATGTTGCCCATTTCAAGCCCACATAAATAATATGAGCAAATGAGGAGTAGAGATTAACCACCCAATTGTGAAATTT